TCAGCAAAAGTCCAAAGTATGCAGACTTTAGAGTGGATAAATGAGACAACTCAGACCCCATTTTTTCCCATGAAGTGTTGCAGGAAAAACGGAGGAATCGAAACTCCACCTATTCGGGGGCTCTGCCCTACTTTTCAGGAAGATTGGGGTTAAAACCAGCCTTAGGGTTAGTGATTGTTCCGGTTAGTACAACGAAATAGTTACGCTTCTTGTAATATTGCGAAAAACCACCCATATTACTAGGGGAGTTCCTATGGCAGATCTTACCCTGTGGCATACTTAATATTAAGCAATACGCAACAACAACGAATTCAACCAGAGAGTGTACGTGTACGTAAAGGCTCACTTTTAACTGATGATAAGGTTCACTGAGTTCCGTGAATTTGCCTCAGTGATACCTTGAGAAACCAACCAGATCGCAATCTCAGGCAGCACAACTATAAGCGCCCGCACAACTCAATGCAGACTTGGCTTGGATGATAAGGACGTGAGATCAAACAGACCCGAGACCTGGTAACGAGATTACCCACGACTGTTCCTCTTCAATCTCAGCGCAAGAGGCAGCGGAGGAAGGTAGTGGTGGGCGTACTTAAGGAGATGCTGTGTTTACTGCCTGAATGAAAGGTGGAAGTGACACATTACCATCCAATATCACCTATTTTGTCATTGTAACTGCCACTAGTGGCACTGCTGGGTACAATGATTTCCTATCTGAGCAGCGGACGTAAGAACATGTGATTAGTCGTCAACTGTAAAGGGACTGTTACGGAAATGTGGTCGCTGGAACAGGACATTTATTCACCGGACGTTTCAAATTCTCACTCAAGTAGATCATCAGAGACACCTGCAGCTGATGAACGCACGAAAGAAGCAGTACTTCTAGGGCGTGGTTGCCTGGCACAAGCAACGTACATCAGTGCAAGTTCTTGTTCTGTCTTCATCTAAAGTGGTCAAGTTTCGCTTTTGGACGACATCGTGGCGACAATTTCCGAGGTATATGGAACGCTTCGTCCTTTTTGACTCTGCTATGAAACACAGCCCAGGTAGGCGAGGAGGAAAATAGTGCAAAAGTCTACTATCAGTAGAGCACTCGCAGGCGGTCGCGTAGCGATTAGTTGTATATGTGGATAAGGACTGATATTTATCAGTCTTCATATCATTTCCGATGTCATGATATAGCTTAAGCAGATTAGTAGTTGGTAATACAAGCGAAAATACGAATCCCAGGGAATACTTGAAAAGCATATGCATTCGGTAGGACAACAACTATATTCGCGTGACCTTTCGGATCCCGTCGTAGATTCATCGTCAGAGACAACAGCAGGGACGGGTAATTCATGCCAACGGAGTTGCAGTAATTATACGCGACAGTCGATATGCTACTGCATACCTATGACAATTACCGGCTACCCCCTTATGCATGATAGTTGCCCGTTTGTACGTTAATTGTTTCATGGCCGGCATGCGGGTCGCGACCTTCTGAACCTTTACCATCCTTGCTGGATTTGGTCGTGATGATGGCTCCCTGACACTGGCTTTAGAAGACATGTTCGCCTATGCGCTTTCCGAGTGGCGAATTGCATTGGCCAAAATGGGCGCTAGCACCGAGTATGGGTCGGAAAGATCATTGGACCTGTTTATAGACTGGGGGCCTGTAGATCCTGACTCAAGCAGCTCACGGCTTACATGATGGTCACATCTCGCGAGAATTTCGACATCGTCAAATGAGCCGTGCCTTGGGAATTGGTGTTACTTCTGCGCACCGCGGCTGCACTTTCGGCAACTCCCGTCATGAAAAGTCTTCCAGTCTCTTCGGCGTAGTTGCTTTGTCCGCAACCGTACCAGATCCTATAAACGACCCAAGATGTTCCTTGCTGCGACAGATGGTCTTTCAGTTTCATTACCTGACGCCTCATAGAAAATCTGGAGCCGACTATATGATCTGGTGCAGGCGAGGACGTGAAGGTGTGTTGAATGTAGTACAAGTCTACTATCCCTGTTAACCAAATTACGTGCAATTCCCGTTTCTGTGCTTATCCTGTTGTAGAACACATTGTAGACGTTGTCGGGATCGACGGTCGAACTGCCATCCCAGTAAATTGACGACATTGGCAATTAAAGCAAAAAATGCGGGGAAATTTAGTTAGGTTTAAGTAAAAGACAGGAGAGCCTGAAACAGTCTGCAATGCCGACACACGCTAAAAGGTGAGTCTTAGAAAGGTGATGGGAAGAGTAGATGCTGTAAAAATAGCAGCTAAATACTCGGAATGACATTCCGAGGTTCGCTCCAGAATTGCTTAGTGGTAGCACTACTCTGCGAATTGTCCAAGCCTCCTTTGGTAACAGTACTTTCAGGAAATGCATGTATGCTAGGTACCTGGAGAGAGAAGGGCGATTCGGTCGATGCCTTTGTCTTCCTGCTGAATTGCCTCGATCAGGTCGCCCACAGTATTGCTGAGCGGACGCATAGTAAAGACGCAGGTCTCCTTGCGCGAGGGCAAGGGGATGTGAAAACGTGGGAGGCCATTGGTCAGAACCACCTGGGCTGCAGGTTCAGCCGATTGCGCGGAAAATTGACGGGTGAATTGGCAGGAAAGGCGGAAGCAGAGTGCACCACGTCCATAGACCTACAGATGGTAAGAAGCCGCGTTTAGAGATCCAGAGGACCCGGAAAAGCAAATTATCTGACCAAAACTAAGCAGGGGCAAGTTTTTGATCCTAGCACAA